CATTTATAATTTATGTTCATGCCAAAATATCATCATTCCAAAAGACTGACAAAGATGGTTATCTTTTCAGCACATGGCTATTCATATTGCAACCACGGTATTTACTGCAACTATGGATGTTGCGGTGACTACAACAACCAATACTGCTGCAGCAGGTACGTTCTAGCTCCGCTTCTACGACTATTTCATTTCGTTGTGAAAATAGCCGAAGAAACCTAAACCATTACATATCTTTATCAATGGTCCACGAGTCCAACCACATCATAAGCATCTGCTTCTGAATCACTATCAAACAGTGCAGGTACATGTGTTCGAAAAATGATGTGTTTACCCACAACATGGAACATTGGTACTGGGAGAACACATCTATATGTTCATGTTTTAAAGTTAAACTTTACCAAAGAATATGATTCTAGGTAACGATTTATTCAAATCACAATCTACTAAAGTGTTATTGTAACATAAACCAAGCATGTCTACATGTCTACATTTCCTTAAAATAACAAAGAAACAACAACATATGTTGAAGAAATGGGAAATTGATTATTTGATTACGTCTGGCTAACGTGAGCATACCCAGTTCAAACCGAACTTCCATCTTTTTGTCGGTGATTAGTATCACAGTTAACAAACCAAACCGCTCACATCCACTCAGGCAATATCGAACATTCTTTTTATTCCTATTTCTGTCATTCATTGATATACATGAACAACCAATTCTGTAGAGTGAGCTAGTATGGTTGGAACTGATGGTGGCAATGTTCCATTAATATGTTTTCTGCGATAATGACAAAGGGTAGGTGGTGATCACATATTGCCCAACTTGTTTCTTGCAGATTCAGTGTCGCAGAGACTGCAACGGTTGCACTGATTCTCGGGATCGTGTGCAGTGTTGGGTTGACGATCGTCGTGATTGTTGGAATAGTCATATGCTGTGTACGCTGCTGCTGCCGACCATCTAAAGGTCACCAAGGTCAACTTGTAACCACCGGTCAACCACTTGCAGTAATAACTACTGGTAATTTACATATCTCATTGTTAGCATCTTTAGCACGGGTAGATAGATAGGCAGGCAGACAGACATACAGATTATGTCATAACAGTGCATTGGGACCCTTTGTATTGAATGAGAAAATGTCATGGTATTAGGGAAACAACGAGAACCAGTTGTTTCCCTCCTACTATGACATCTCCTTCGAGTTCAATACGTAAGGTCCCAAATGCAGTAGTACGACCTTTTATATTTATTAAATACCTTTTTCACGACATCGACTATTTTAATCATATCTTACACGTCACGATTGAAACCTCCTCATTGAGGTCTTAATGTAAAGAACGTATTAAACATGTGAGATCGCAATCATCGCCATCAATCAAGTGCCAGGTACTAATCGCTAAAGAAAAGAAACAGAATTCCCACAAAAACAACATCCATCTAATAACTATAATGTTTCACAGATTTCATTTGGGGCACTCATTAAAAATCACATCTTCTTTAAAATGTTTAAACACTTAGTGAAGTTACTGAAAACTATGTGGTAGTGTTATGATCTTCACGATATTCGCTTGTAACTGATAATTGGTTTTACTGCAGAACCATAAATGGTAGATCGAAAAGCAGAAAACTGTAATACCATCACACACTTACATCCTCGTCCAAAGATCTGAAGTTTGTCTTCAGAATTGCCTTCCTCAGGTTTGCTTCAGTCCTCTGACTGCAGGTCCGACTTCACGATTTGTCCTGTTTACATGTGTCAGTACCATACCCGCGACCATAGATCATGAACAATAAAATATTAGTTTGTGTGAAAGTAAGTATTATCTGTCCATAAAAGTCTAGGAATGTGTTTTAACAAACCTCTGATGCGCAGTGCAAAGCAGTCTTGTAGACTATTAGTTACCAGAACTGTGCCAGTCGGACAGACATGTCGTATATCCTTGACTTACTAACCAACTGATAGGATTACTACACTACATGTTCAGCTGATCGTGTCTATTTCTGTCTAGGTTCAAACACTACCCCTGGTGCATACAATGCGGGGTACGTCTACCCGCCTCAGCCTGCTCCAGGTACACACTACACTCAACTTGCAGGGACGGCACAACCTCCACCATCCTAACCTCCTGGACCACCATATCCTTCAGAAACAGGGCAAGCCAAAGCTACGCCAGAGGGAGTCAGCACTTCTTAAATCTGAATAACCAACACCGTCCAGAGTCAGTGTTGACTGTGTGACATTAGAACACTAAATGAACTTGAAAAGATCCAATTTATATATTTATAGCGTTAAAACTTTGTCACAAGTGGTTGTGGTGGTAGTGTTCATCACATTTTCCCCCTAAAGAAATGTTAATACATAACACTTTTTATGGATAACAACTTTTAACTTATAGTTTTGTCAGAAAGGCCCATGACTTGATAGTTTATAAAACCTTAGTTTTACATTACATTCAAAACACATTGCAAGCTTACAGGAAATGCACATTACATATCGGCGTAATAGCTTGGTATCCAACAGTAAGTAGAGTAAGATTAATTAATTATTGACCTAAATTGGCTTCACCTCATTGTTTTTACCCCAAACACAACGCCTTTACTCCTTCCAGAAAATAGCCACCAAGTCTTCAAAAGACATTATTTTCAACAGCTTCTATATAAGGAATATGAACTTAATATAAACTACTTGGCAAAAGAAGGTAAACTCTTGAACGTTGTATTTTGACAAGACATTACAGGCATTATCAAAACACAGCATTGAAAATACTCGCCTAAACACAGCAACCTTTATGTTAAAAATCCCTATCAAATTCATCAAAATCGAATCGACATGTATCTTTTGTTGAATGAAATACGTGTGTGTACTTTCTTTTACCAGGTATTTTATACGGGGAATCCTTTTCAAACAGATAGCTGTAGTATTTTCTTCATTCATTTATCCACGACTTTCTGTTCTGTTGCTACATTGTATGGCTTAATGATTGAATAAATATATACTCTCCCAAAAAAGAAACGCATATAGGAATTTCAACTGTATTTTTATGTTTATTTTGAAACATCTTTATGAGTCAATGAAATATAGCGAAATTGCACACTGGGAATGCAGACTTATCCGTCTTTGGCACCAACTCGAGGAAAGTCAGTTTGAGTGTCACATGGAGACGTGTGGTGGCGCTGAAGTCAATACCTCGTGTGACCACCGTGGGCATCCAGAACTGCACGGCATCGCCTCGGCATCGAACGAATAAGTCTCAGAATCTCGTGTTGCCCAATCGCAGCCCACTCTACCTGTAGTGCCTGTGCGAGTTGCTGAAGTGTCTGGGGCTGAGGGTTACGGCGTCGCACCCGTCTGTCCAGGGCATCCCACAGATGTTCGATCGGGTTTAAGTCCGGTGATCTTGAGGGCCAGGGGAGCACATTGATGTTGTGGTTCTGGAGGAAGTCTCTAGTGTGACGTGCTGTGTGGGGCCTGGCATTGTCCTGTTGAAACAACTCCCTCTGGCGATCAATGATTGGAAGGAGGTGTGGGCGTAGGATTTCGTCACAGTACCGTTGAGCTGTCAGGTTGCCCTGGATCATCACCAAATCACTTCTCCTACGGCAGGTGATCGCCCACCACATCATAACACATCCCCGGCCGAATCTGTCCACCTAGGGAACGCAAGCGTCGGCGAAACGTTCACGTCGACGTCTGTACACCCGCATTCTTCCATCGCGTCGTTCCAATAGAAATCGTGATTCATCACTGAACCAGATTCTACGCCAATTCGGTAGGTTCCAGGCCTGAACGTTGGTGCACCATTGAATTCGATGTCGACGATGTTGTTGTCGAAGCACAGGGCCAAAATACGGTCTTCTGGCACGTCAACCAGCCCCTCTCAACCTGTTCCTGACGGTCTCTGCAGAAAGCCTCCTCAATCCGGGTATTTGTCGAGCGGTACTGGTCGCCGTAGCTGTTCGATGACGCAGGTGATGTACCCGGATGTAGCGATCCTGCGCCACAGTGGTCGCTCGAGGTCGCCCACTACGAGGGGCATCTGCTACCGCATTCTGCCGGCGATATCTCTCCCAGAGCCGTGAAATGGTGCTTTGGTGAACATTCATGCGTCGGGCAACTGCACGTTGAGACTGGCCAGCTTCAAGCAAACCAATGGCGATATGACGGTTGGCTTCACTTAGACGTGGCATTTTGCGTTCGTCAACAATATTCCAAATACAGTGAATAATCGACAGACAGCGATCAACCATTTATACCCATCATTGAGACTATCTGATCCCCAACTTTCACGTGCATTGCATGTGAATTGCGTATTCTGTGACACTACACGCCGAAATTGAAAATCATGCTGTTAAATACGGGTATTTTACGGATGGTGCGTTTTGTTGTGATGTTTCAAAACATAAACACCATAGGACTCATAAACAGAGCAAAACCTTTTGTAAAATGAATCACGTTTTAATTCATTGCTACATAAATTGCTATTTTCATGATGCGTTTCTTTTTTGGGAGAGTATATTAATCTTTCAAACTATTGGTTTGTATGGATGTTTTGCCTTAACAATTGTTACACATCCTATACTATTGAATCAGTATGCTCATTACGCTAGAATGGAAGTAAATCAATTTTGAAACATAATTTGGTGTCTTCTTTATCTGATAAATCTGTCAGAACATTTGTGAGAGCGCTTCTGTCAATATATAAAGGTGATAAAGCCAATGTGGCGTAATCAGTCACTTCTAAAAATACCAGTGCATTTCCTCTTTTGTCCAATTACAATCTTTCCTTATATCATATATTTTACAATCTTCAAAGAAAGTAAGGGTCAAATGTTCGCCAGGAACACACCTCACAATCTTTTCACCTCGCTCAGGAGGCCCTTTCCTGAAGGTGAATAGAGGCGATCACTCTCTATTGGAATAACGGGTGTTCACTGAGCGTGTGTGTTGTCTGTTGTTGACTGGGAATGGCAGACGACAACATGAATGTGACGCCATCTACTCTCATTCAGTGGTGACTGTGGTTGGAATATGGTATGTGTGTGCGCGTGCGTTGGGTTTTGGTTGTTGGATGTTGGCGTGATGTGGGGTGTTGATGTTGGTGTTGATGTTGATGTTGATGTTGCTGTTGGTGTTGGGATCTGTGTTGTAGGTTGTGGGCTGTGGGTTGTGGGTTGTGGGTTGTTGGCCGTGTGGTGTGGGATGTTGCGTGTGGGGTGTTGGAGTGGACTTAGAGAATGGGGTTATGGGTGTTAGTTTTGGGGCGTGAGACGTGGGGTTTGGGGATGTTGGTTGTGCGGTGTTGGGCGTGGGTGTTGGGTGTGGAGTGTCGGGTGCGGGGTGTCGGGTGCGGGGTGCAAGGATGCTGGCTGGCTGGCGTGGGTGTGGATGTGGGTGTGAGTGTTGGTTGTTGGATGTGGGGTGTTGGGCGAGGTGTGGGGTGTTAGGCATGGGTTGTGAGATGTGGGTTATGGGGCGGGGATTTTGGGTGTGGGGTTTAGGTTTTGGGCGACAGGCGTGGGGTTTGGGGATTTGAGTTTTAGGCGTGGGGTGTGGGGCGTCGGTATGGAGCGTCGAATGTGGGAATGCTGGTGTTGGACGTGGGTGTGGGTTGTTGGATGCTGGTTGTTGGGCGTGGGGTGTTGGGTGTGGGTTGTTAGTGAGACGTGGGTTTTGGGGTGTGTGGTGTTGGTGTGGGGTTGTGGATGTTGTAGTGGGGCGTGGGGTTTGTTTGATGTTGGTGTTGAGCGTGGGCATAGTGTGTGAGGCGTGGGGGGGGGGGGGGGGGTTGGGGGTGCGTAGGGCATAGGATGTGGAGTGCGGGGTGCGGGAGTAAGTACATATGCATGTTTTTTATTCGGCTTTAAGTGAGTGAGTGAGTGAGTCAGTCAGTTGAGTTTTACGCCGCACTCAGCAATATTCCAGCTATATGGCGGCGGTCTGTAAATAATCAAGTCTGGACCAGAGGGCCCTGTGGTCAACAGCATGAGCATCGATCTGCGCAATTGGGAACCGATGACATGTGTCAACCAAGCCAGCGAGCCTGACCACCCGATCCCGTTAGTCGCCTCTTACGACAAGCACGGGTTACTGAAGATCAATATTGTAACCCGGACCTTCACGGGTGTATTCGACTTTAAGAACAAAAGGAGGTGTTATAAATAAGTTCAAACTTTGCCTGTGTATGGAGAATCAAACACGGTCCTATGGTGTGGCGAGAGGACATCTAACTACTGGGCTAGACCACCGCCCCTTACATATAATTAACGAAAATAGTGCATGTATATTCACAGAGTCCATACATGTCAATGTATCTTACATTCCGTATAAAACGCTCGCGAAAACCTGGAAAGATATTATCAACTTCTAGTTTGGTCATCTAGTTTATGTCCATGGTAGCTAAGGCACAAACTTTCTATAGGATTTCAATGCTTTGACTGCTACATACAAGCATATATATCATCGCCTGGCGAAGTTCTTTCACGGTATTGTAAGCGTTACAAATAATATACACAGAAAGACATACATAAATGTACTTTCATGTAAACCTTTGTTAGTGTACGTTTCACCATGAGCGGTGTTAAGAAATACTCATAAAAGACACTTATAATGGCGATTGGCGAAGGACTATTTCCTTTGAACGTCATGCATGTTTTGTTCGTTGTATATACATGTCATGGAGTAGGGACATCTGCTTAATCGCTGACACTCGGAGCTGCAGTAGGATGTTGTCTCTAACGACTTTGAATATTATTCTTGCACTGGCTGCTGTTGGTGAGTATACCTGTCATTTGTGTCGTATGTCAGAGTGTAAAACATGAAATAGATGTACACGTTGGCAGATTCTAGGCTCTGTGTGGTGCTTTGGTCAATGCACTCAGTTACCGTACACGCTTAGGGGCCGTCGTTGTAGTTTTGACTTCAACATAAACTGACATACAAAAGAAAGTAGACACCTGGTGCTTTTGGATTACTTTCCAAAGAGCGACGTAAATGTTTTGAAAAGAGTTTCTGCAGTGATATATAAGTCACAAACTTTCCTAATATGTTGCCAAAACACCACAGATATCGTGCCCAATTGCGATGTTGCCAATCAAAATCACAACACTTTTCAAATAATCCCAAAACACCAGGTGTGTACTTTCTTTTGTACGTCAGATTATTTGGGATGTGCAGGTATAAACCAAAAGTTCGGTGTGCATACTGTATGAATCTGAGTAGTTATATGCAGAATCACTCGGCCAGGGTTGGCTGAGTTGTCTGGGTGACACGCCCCTTTCAATAGCAATTCCGTTAAAAATTCCAATATGTGCAAGGGTATAGTGCTTAGAATAGTGACACCTTTGGTGTTTCGAACCTACATTCGTAGGTTTTCCAGGACGTTATAAATTACTCAAAGATATCACAATGTCGAATTGGATCAAGGCCTACAGCAAAATGTTCACATCTATAGGTGAGCGATATTCTCACTCTTTCAATCGTGTGTGTTGATAGATGTTGAGAGTGTTCACGCTATATTTTCCCGCCAGGTTCTACTAGGTTTAGCCTCTATCTGCCATCGTATAAACAGATGTATTGTTGCAGTGTTCACTCTCAGTATTATACTGCATCAACACTATAGGATATATTAATATGGTGAATGTATTTAAGAAAATCCACAATCTTTAGGAAACTGGTAATACAAATAGTTATAGTTTGAAGAGAAAACATGTATGATCGTAAAAAGCAATTAGAGATTCAGGAAAAACTTTAAAAACTTTTAACTGGAAGACATTTCGTTTCCAGTAATAGTTGTGTCGTGAAATATGAGCAATAGTGAATACATAACCTATTCTGAACTGTGGCAATAGATGTCATGACTGCCAGCGATCTTAAAGGATGATAGGGTTATGGTAAGAAACTTCAACGTTTTTTTGAAACAATACCGCAACCATATGTTAAATATTCATTCCTTCCACGAGGCATGATGCATGCGGGTGTCCCCATGACTCGTTGAGGGAGTCGGTCTCACTCATCTTGCAGCGCCTGTTCAAATTCAGCCATAGTGGTCGGTGGCCTTGAAGCATCCGTACCATGTTCCTGTTCCTGACATATCAAAAGTGGCACACCTCTGGGCTTATTGCTGACCATTGCATTCTGTGGACGTCCTGACAGACAAAACGGCGACACACACGCCTTGGATGCGGGTCAATAGGTGTCCGGCGACCGTTGAGCAGGGCGGTTGGGTAGCCTAATGGTTTAAGTTATCGATTCCCCACATGGGGACAGTTTGTAAAAGTGGCGTAAAACCATACTCACTTCTGTGACCAATATGGTTGCTCGGTCATAGAAATGCCAACCAACCCCATAACCGATCAAACTCCAATTATGTGAGGAGGTCTCAGGTTGATATTGGCGGGAAGTCCATTTCGACGTCGGCACTCTTAGGGAAACAAGATACTTTACCAAGCACCATTTTATTGATGTCTGAGTCTGATTAACGTGGCCATCGGGCATGGCAATGAGCTTCGTGTAGACGTTTTGCTGACTCGTAACTTCAATACCCTGATGAGAGTTTGCGTTCGCAGTGTGAGCTACATTTCGTAGATCAATCAATCTATCGTGTACTCTTGTCCACGGCCTAAACCAAATCTCAACCTCCATACTGATTTACCGTCTCCGTCTCCGTGTATTTCAGTGGTCCGTTTCGGTGCATGTGTTAACACTAAAAACAGACATATTGAATGTAACATGTGGTATGAGACAAAGCAAAGTTGACAATATTGGCAACTGTGTTGGCAAAACAATTGGTTGGTTGGTTGTTTAACGCCGTATTCAGCAATATTCCAGCTATAAGGCGGCGGTCTATAAATACTCGAGTCTGGACCAGACAATCCAGTGATCAACAGCATGAGCATCGATCTACGCAACTGGTGTCAATCATGTCAGCGGGTTCTGACCAACCGATCCCATTAGTCACCTTTCACGTTGACAAAACAAATATATTTTCTGTGTGGTAACTGGCAAAAGGACCATAAATTTGAGTGAGAGAGTATGGTTTATGCTTCTAGCAATATTCCAGCAATATCACAGCGGGGGATACCAGAAATGGGCATCACACATTGTAACCATAGCAACTCGAACGCTTTCACCACTAGATACCCCACCGCCCCATTCAGTAAATGAATTCCGTAAGTACAGCAGAAGTTAATTATTTGTTTACGAAACTCGTTAAGGCAAGTATCTCTCGACTGTCGGAAACGTGAACATATGCCATATGACGTAATTTCAAAAGTATATTTCTGTTAGGGTCTGCTCTAAATAGTCAAAACCTTTAAACGTACGAGTATCAGTCACAATAGAGCTATGGTCTGGGTGAACCATTACAAAACCTAACCCTAGTCTAAAATGAGGAACATGCAGTCTCTGCTCACTTTCTCAGTGTTAGTACTACCGCTTCTTTTACCATGGTCACTTTGGTTAACATGATACCGAATGACTTTCAAAAGACTTTCAATTGCTTTCTTCTCAACAGCTAATATACTCATGCCAATAATGGTTGTCACCCTCCCCACCCCACCCCCCACCCCCACACACCCACCCCACACCCCTCCAATTAAAAAATTGAAGGGGTGACAACCATTATTGGCATGAGTATATTTAATGGCAAGCAACCATTTCATTCAAAGCCACTAAATTGTCCTCGTCTCGATCTTACGGTATCCTAGAAAATGTCCAAACGGATTAGTCTATGCCAATATACACAACAACTCATGAAGTTAACTGTAATTGTCGAACACGGATAACAAAGGCAATATGGTTGTGGAAGACGGTCAATATAAACAATCGAGATACAACAGATCTTGACATTTTAGGCGCGCTTCATCGGTGCTTCCATTCAAAAATATTACCAGGAAGCATACGGGCCCATTATAAGCTTACTTGTATGTTTCAGGATTAAAATCTGTACCGCTACTAGGTATCATGCCATGATGGACTGGAAAACCAAACAAACTTTGGTTTATGTTGGTGTTATTTCCTCAGAGAGCATTGATGTAAACATGAGCATATAGTAACCCTTGTACAAAGCATAAACCGGAACAAGTATACTCAATAATGTTTGCCATGACAAGTATCATGCATTTAGTTCTGCCTCCTTCTAAATGCCTGTTAATGAATTCAATCATATATAGGAAGGATTGTTTTGTCATTTTCTTAATCCAATTATTATGAAAAGGGCACAGAATATTTGATGGACGCCAGTGTCTGTGGTACTAGTCTGCTTTGCCGATTCTTTGGGTGAAAGGCTCTTCCAGTACCAAGTACAGTAACCGAAACAACATATGTACTCGATGTTCTGTATTACTGGCTTACACCTGATTTCTTAACGCTGGCTACCATGGCTCTTAAATATCTCTTGTTTAGAACGTCTTTCCATTGTTTACCTATAGAAATAGGTTGGTGGCACAACATTCCACCCGAAGAAAGAATGTAGCCTCTGCGACACGTGTGATGTTGGCGATGAACTTCGTTACATTTTTCTCTGCCCTTTCTTCAAAAATCATCGGCAAACTAAAATCACAAACAATTATGTTAAAAAACCAATGTATTAAAATTTAACGAATTGTTTAACTGTAAACGAATTAGTGTTTTAGAAAATATAATTATGTATATTTTGTAAAACCATCGTGAAAAGTGTACAGTTTTCTATGTAAACCATCCCGCCATCCTATGTACTCTTTACTGTATGTATATCTGTACCTCTTACGCCGAGGATA